CGGACCGTGGGCTGCGCCGACACCACCTCCGATCCTGTACGGTTGTGGGCGCCTCGGCGCGCCCTGTGCTCCGCAATCCTGCGGCGGGCGGCCTGGGATAATGCGGCCATGGTGCGCCGAGAACGCTTGCGCAGGTGGGTGCTGCCGGCCGTGCCGCGAGGGGGGTGTGGCCGGCCCGACTCCGTGTGGGTGCCGCTGCCACCCCGGAGCTGCCCGCGGCAAAATCCTCACCAAAAGGTGGCCGCGCTGCCCCGACTGAAAGGTAGTCGCTCGGCCCGAACTTGGGATCGCCCTCGCTGGTGATTTTTTTTAAAAACCCAGGGTCATTTGCGTGAGATTTAGGAAATTTAGGATCTCCATATTACCCTGGGAATTAGGGGTTTTTGTCAGGGTCTTCGCTGTGGTGTGGTTTAGGAGGTGGTGGTGGCGCGATTTGGGATTTGTGTACCCCGGAAACGCCCCGGTGCGTTCTAAGATTTGTAGAGCTGGTCATTGTTGTGGCGTGACTTAGGATTTCTAGACCCTGGTGCGTGATTTAGGAGCCGAGGAGCCGAGATTGCCGCGCGCGACTTACGATTTCCAGGTTCGGGCATCGCAGTGGCGTAGTTACTGCATAGGTGTGACTGGACCTTGCCGCGCTGTGCGACCGCGGCAGTAAGTGTTGTTCCAAAGCCAGAAATGGGACCCTCGGGAGGCCGGGCACACGGCCAGACTGTTAAAATGTTATGAGAAGTGTTTCCTTCGTTTTGTGGGTTCACAGCGTAGTTTGCGCTGAGAAGTGGTCAAATGGGCCGGTTTGGTGGTATTAGATAAATGTGTTTTTACATCATTTACAGAAATAAGAAATCACGGCACGTAAAGTTTGTTTCGAGAGTGTGCTGAATTTTTAATCTAAATCATGGCGCCATCAAATAATGGGGATTTGACTTAAAAATATGTTTTTAACCCTTTCGTCTGCTTGCCAGTTTGCTTGACCACTGATAATTGTTAAATGTTCGGGGCGGGGGTGGGGGAGTATTTTTACCAGGGTAACTAAGACAGAACGGCGGGGGGGGGCGCCCCCCTCTCCTGAGTGGAGGAGGTGCACGTACGGACGTGGGTGTGGCACCTCGGTTCCCCTGCGAGCGGGCGGGCGGGCGGGAAGCCCCTGCTCCCGCTGTAGCCCCTCCCCGTCTTCTGCTGAGTCACTGCGATTCAGTCGGAGACCTGCACGGATGCCCCGGAGGCCACGTGAAAATGTACGAACAGGTAACAGGACCAAATGGGACTGAGGAAAACAACCGAACAAATAAAAATGGACAATAACAACAAAAAACCCCAAACCTAACACTTGTGTTATTTGCCTTTCAAGGAGGTTCGGCGGTAAAGCCCGTTAGCGGATCACAGACTGCGATAAAACCATCATGTTCTGGCACTCTTCCAGTCATTTCTAGTATTGCCTTGAAAGGTAGAACCAAGCCATTGTGGCTGTTCAGTGGACAGAGACTTTGGAGGGTGAAAAAAATACCCAGAGTCCAAGTCTGAAGTTCAGGCAGGCAGTCGAGGTTTCTCAAGGGGTGTTGGTTTTTCCCCACCATGTCAGGTTTATTGTTAGAGTTTAAAAAAAAAAAAAAAGAGCCACCCTCCCCCCAAAAAGCCAGTTTCGTGAGGTTGCAGGTAAGGCGCCATAGGGCGTTCTTCTCTACGGAGTGAGCCAACAAGCCGGAGTCCACGAGGACTCTGGCAATGACTTTGTTTTACCTGTAGCTGCCTTCCTGGCATCTCTAGTTTCAGTTTAGGATGCATTATCCCATTTTGTCTAGGGAACCCTCTCCTTGGTGACCATGGCAAGTCACAAATAGAGGAAATGGTTTCTAATCCCGCTCTAATTCTTGCCTCCAGTATAGATAAATTGATCTGGACCTTTAGAATTCGGGTGTAGCAAGCTGGGGGGGGGGCACAAATCTGTGCTTTCCTTCCACAGACAAAACCAAGTCCTGAGTGCTAGGTGTGTGGGTGGGGTCTTAATTTAAAAAAGGGAATTGCCTCAAGAGTCTGCTAAGAAAGCAAAAATATAATCTGCTGCCCAGACTTCTAAGAGATTAGATATTCAGGGTCAGGGCAAAGCTGCTTACTGGATGTGAAGTGCTGCAGCTATCTGGCTCTCATTCCCCACCCCTCCGTCCCCCCTGCCCCCTCCCACTCCCGTACCTCCTCCCCCACCCCCTCCTACTTCCCCCACCCCCCCT